GAGAGGAAGGAAACCCGTGCTGGCTCTCGACGTTCCTGCTCATTAATAAGTTAAATTAATATGAAATACAATAAATTTCCACCTGGCTTTGAAAAGGGGGTGATGTTCATAAAGCTGAAGAAATGTTCTTTTTTACCAAAGAACAATGATGTATTAACAACTGTGACATTTTGTGTAAAAGTGGAGATGATCTTCTCAATTTCATGTACATAACACTATCTGGCAAGGTCTGTTGTTTATTCAAATTTGGAATTTCTTTTTGTGTTTATAAAATAACATTTTGTTTTTGAGAGAAATCTGTGTGTTTGATGTTTCTACAGTCTTGCTTAAAGGGTTAACAAAAGTGGTGCTTTTATTATACTTACCTTGTTTACAACTCTTTTTGTTTCAATATCAGGCTCAGAAATGGCCAACCCAATAGTCATCAGCAAAATGCAAATCAACACAAAACTCCGGTTTAAAACGAAGTCCATTATCTTCAACTGATGGAGTTAAAAATTGCATTGATGAACAAAATATTTTAACAAACACACATATAGAAACATTAAAAACAAAAAAGAACAATCACACACATATAAACATTAAAAACAATAAAGAACAATCACACACATATATAAACATTAAAAACAATAAAGATACAAAAGAAAAAATAAAGGTCCACTTTTTGAAAGTGCTCGGGTTATAGGGTATCGTATTTTTGTGTTAAATTGATTTCTTGAACCTATGTGTTTTCCTATCACCTTTCTAACAAGTCAGTATACTTTCTCAGAGAAGATCAAAACTGTACACAGTATTCAAAATGAGGCCTAACTACTGATTTAAATATTTTGACTGGTAATCAGGGACTTAGTTAGCCAGCCATAATTCTGAACAACAGTGAATGGTTTAAAACTTATCAAAATCTGTCACTTGCTCGCTATGGTTTTATACATTTATTGCCTTGTTCATTAGGCAAGGACTTGAGTTCAGTTTGTGGGATTTTACTCGTTGACCATATATTTACATTACTCATGTAGTAACTAAGGTTGACACATACCCGGACTTGTCAACATTTCAACCACAATCACTTACCATTTCTTAGACATCAGAAATAATTCACAAGTGTATTGATTAAATTATTCTATTGTATTTGTTTCTTTGTTCACCATGAGATTGAAATTGTTCGGCTTTACGGAAGTAGCCAAACATAGTTATTTATTTCTACAAAAATAACTAATTCAGAAAATGGTTCAAACATATCACAACTTAAATCCCTTCAAGTTAATAAATTTACTTTTTCATATCAAAAACAGAATTGCATTTAAATTAGACACAGCCTTAACCCCAATAATCAATGCTCTCTAAGGGATTCCCCCCCACTAAAAATGGTACGACACCCAACTTCTTAATCCAAGTCTTTGCTTGCAATAAATATGTATGTCTATAAATACACCCTAAAATTCTATTACCTTTACTATTAGCAATAGGCCACTGTCTCGATGGTTTGGATGATTTATTTACCATTATGCCAAGATCCTTTTCTTCAGCCATGCTACTGAGTTGGTTTACATCCATATTAAATGTGTGAATCCAAAGTATGAAAGCCAAGCACATTATCTTGCACTTACTGTAAATTAATTAAAGATGAACTGTGAAATATTTTTCCAACTTATTAATTGGTTCCAGTCACAAAATATTCTGTGGTGCTTCAACGTCTTCAATACAGCTAGAAACACCCAAACATAAATGTCATCAACAAACTTTACTGATTATCATTAATGTAAAGAAGAAAAGGCACTGACCCCTTAAACAGTTGACAAGTAACAAGGGTCAAGTTGAACTGAACTCCAATAACAATTTTTTGCTTTCTCTTACCCAACCAGTAACTTATTCATAACAGATAACCTACAAGCAGTGATTACATCAACTAGTATCATGTAAACTAACTGACTAATCAAAATTGGTGTTTCCAGTTATTATTGTTTTATATTATTCCAACAAATTAAGATTAAATTGACTGTCACAAAAATAATCAATTATTACTATTTTTGATTATTCTAACTAGCTAGAAATCTATATTATGCCACCAAGCTTGTTATAGTATAGCTAATACCTGACATTTAGAACCGCTTATCTTTAACATAACTGAAAATTCCTTGCAGTTTTACAACCTTAAGCTTAGCAGTACCTGCATAATAAATAAGATAAGATTAAGTT